TTTCTCTAGTTTCTTAAGGTTGTTGATTTGAAAGTTTTCTTCTTTCCTCATGTAGATGTTTAGTGCTATAAATTTCCCCCTAAGTACTGCTTGAGCAGAATTCCACACATTTTGGTATCTTATATTTGCATTTTCATTCAGTTCGAATACTTTCTAATTGCCCTTTGATTTCTTCTTCGATGGGCTACTTAAAAACATAATATTTAATTTTCAAATATTTGTGGATTTTCCAGAGTTCTTTAATTCCATTGTGGTTAGAGAATTTCTTTTGTATAACTTCATTTAAATCCATTGAGATTTGTTTTATGTTTTTAGAGTTGTTCAAATCTGTATTTTTACCGAATTTCTGTCTATTTTTCCTATCACTTCTTGACAGAGTAGTGTTCAGATCTCTGATTATACATGTGATTTGCCTATATTTACCTGTAATTTACATCAATGATTAGTTTCTGTATTCTAAAGTCCTGTTATTATGTGAAATGAAAGGGCTAAAAGTATGTCTTGTTGACCCCTTTATCGTATGAAATGATCTCTTTATTTCTGGTAATACTCTTTGCTCTGACGTCCACTTTGCCTGCTATTAATATAGCAACTCCAGCTTTCTTTAGATTAGTGTTAGTTTGGGATATGTTTTTCTATGCTCTTACTTTTAACCTATTTTTTAAAAAATTGGAAATTGATTTCTTTTAGGCAGTATATAGTTGGGTGTCATATTTTTAGCCAGTCTGACGATCTTGTCTCAATTGAGGTGTTAGGCCATTTACATTTAATGTGGTTATTGGTATGGTTTTGTTTAACTATATCCTCTTGCTAATTTTTACTTTTCCCATCTGTATTTTGTTTTGTTTTTCTTTTTCTGCCTTCTTTTGGATAAAATGAGTACTTTAAAAAATAATTTCACTTTATTGGCTTCTGTTGCGTTATTTTAGTAGTTGCAAGGTTTATAGTATTATCTTTAACTTATTACAGTCATTTGTCAAATGATTTGATATCACTTAACATATAAGAATCTTATAATTTCATTTCTCCCTTCCAATATTGTTGTTACGAATGTTACTTCTACATAAGCTATAAACTCATGATGTGTTATTTTTTTTTCTTTAAATAGTTATCTTTATAAAAATATTAACAATAAAGAATAAAGCCCTTTATGTTTACCCACATAGTTATCATTTTTCGTGCCCTCCATTCTTTGTATAGAAGCTGATTTCCATTTGTCATCATTTTCTGCCTGAAGGACTTCCTTTAGCATTTTTTATAGAGGAAGCTGCTGGTGATATATTTTGTTAGATTTTGTCTTCCTGAAAAAGTTTTTATTTTACCATTGTTTTTGAAAGATAATTTTACTTTGTTGTTCCAATGTCTCTGGCTTGCATGTTTCTGATAAGAAATCTGCCATCATCCTTATCTTTCCACCTTTGTCCATAAAGTATCTTCTCCCTCCCCCACTAGCTGCTTTTAAGATTTTTTCCTTATCATCGGTTTTAAGCAATTTGTTTATGATGTGTCTTGGTGTGTTTTTCTTTACGCTACTTTTGCAGAGTTCATTAAGGTTCTTGGATCTATGAGTTTATACTGTAGATGTTGTCAAATTTGGAAAATAGCCATTATTTCTTCAAGTATTTTTCTGTTTCCCCCCTTGACCCCTTGAGGGAGACTGCAATTACATGTGTATTTTTAGGCTGCTTGAAGTTACTCCACAGTTCAATATGCTCTGTTCATTTTGTTTCAGAGTTTTAAAGACAAGACTCTGTGTTTCATCTTAGGCAATTTCTATTGCTATTTAATATTATCTTCAAGTTCACTAATTTTTTGTAATCTGCTGTTAATCTCATCAGGTGAGTGTTTCAGACATCATAATTTTTATTTCTAGAAATTTGGTTTTGTTCTTCTTTATATTTTCCATGTCACCATTTAACATGTTAAGTCTTTAGCTCCTTGAACATATAGAATAAAGTTTATTAACTGTTTTAGTGTTTTTGTCTACTGATTGTATAATGTCTCATCATTTCTAGGTTGGTTTATTTATTTTTATTTTTATTATTTTTTTGAGACAGAGTCTTGCTCTGTTGCCCAGGCTGGAGTGCAGTGGCACGATCTCGGCTCATTAAACCTCTTCCTCCTGGGTTCAAGCAATTCTCCTGCCTCAGCCTCCCGAGTAGCTGGGATTACAGATATACACCATCATGTCCAGCTAATTTTTTGTATTTTTAGTAGAGATGGAGTTTTACCATGTTGGCCAGGCTGATCTTGAACTCCTGGCCTCAAGTGATTCACCCACCTTGGGCTCCCAAAGGGCTGGAATTACAGGCATGAGCCACCTGTGTTGGCCTCTGGGTTGATTTAGATTTATTTATTTTATTTTATTTTTTACTATGAGTTATATTTTCCTGCTTCTTTGAATGCCTGGTAATTTTGAAAATTAGAGGCCAGTTGTGAATTTTACCTTATTGGGTGCTGAATATTTGTATATCTCTATCAATATTTTTTGACTTTGTTTTAGAATGAAGTAGAGTTACTTGGAAACACTTTGATCCTTTTTGGGATTTGCTTTTAAGCTTTGTTAGGTAAGATCCGAGCTGTGTTTAGTCTAGGGCTCATTTCCCTCCAGCACTCCGGCATTCTGAGTATTCTAACCAATGCCCCATTCATTATGAGGCTTTCCACTCTGTCTGCTGAGAGCAGGAACTATTTCTGGTCCTGGATGGGCTATGGGGATTGCTTTCTCTCATTCTTCTACGTAGCTTTTCCCCTAGGCTTGGGTGACTTCTTCCAACACATGCACTGATCAGTACTCAGCTGAAGAGTCTCTTCTGTTCTTCAGTCTTCTCTTTCTCCATGTATCTCTCCCTTCTCCATTGCTCTGCCCTGTGAATTCTACTTGCCTTTGTTTCCCTATGCTACCATCTCCATCTCTTCAACTCAGGGAAAGCATTAGTTTCTGTATGGGTTACCCCTCCCTCAACATGGCCCGGAAACTTCCTCAAGGCAGTTAGCCAGGGCAACCACAGGGCTCACCTTGTTTGCTCTCCACCTCACAGGGGTCACTGTGCCTCATATTCAATGTCTTGAAAATCATTGTTTCACATATTCTGCCCAGTTTGTGGGTTGTTTCGGGAGGGAGAATAATCTGCTACTTCATATTGGCCAAATGTGGAACTCCTGAATGACTTTAGATTAGGCAAAATCCAAAGTAAACATCAAAAGAACCAAAGTGCTTAAGGGATTTAATATTACTAGTAATTGATTCTCTAATGTCAGTTATTATACTTTATATTAATTCTTATTTTAGTGCTTATGAGTAGAAATAAGTTCTCTAAGTGTTGGAGCGAGGAACATGAAACCCATACTCTGCCTAGTTCTTCAAATAGTAGACTTCAGTTGTGAATTTCATCTGTCATCGACAATCATTTAGTTAGCACTTACTAGGTGCTAGGACATAAATAAGTCAGATTTCTTCCACTGAAGATCTTAAGGATGGCCATTAGATTAGTAAACATATACATATAGATATTTCAATATTAAGTGGTAAGTATGATAATAAAAGTACAAATCGGGTGCTTTAGGACCATAGAGAGCGTCACCCATCTGAGAAGCACATGAAAAGGTGGTGATGGGTAAAGAGGGTCTTGAAGGATGAGTGGCAAGTGATTAAACAAATAACAGGATAAATGTGTTACAAAGCAGGGAGACTCAGAGCAATATGACAAACAGGGCATGGTGGCTTATGCCTGTAATTCCAGCATTTTGGGAGGCTGAGGCAGGAGGATTGCTTAAATCCAGGAGTTTGAGACCAGCCTGGGCAACATAGTGAGACCCCATTTCTCTTTTTTTTTTTTTTTTTGAGACGGAGTCTTGCTTTGTTGCCAGGCTGGAGTACAGTGGTGTAATCCCGGCTCACTGCAACCTCTGCCTCCTGGGTTCAAGTGATTCTCCTGCCTCAGCCTCCTGAGTAGCTGAGATTACAGGCATGTGCCACCACGCCTGGCTAATTTTTGTATTTTTAGTAGAGACGGGGTTTCACCATATTGGCCAGGATGATCTCGATCTCTTGACCTTGTGATCCACCCACCTTGGCCTCCCAAGATGCTGGAATTACAGGCATGAGCCACCGCGCCCAGCAGTGAGACCCCATTTCTACACAAAATTTAAAAAAAAAAAAAAATTAGCCAAGCGTGGTGGCAGGTGCCTAAAGTCCTAGCTACTCGGAGGCTGTGGTGTGAAGATCACTTGAACCTGGGAGGTCAAGGCTGCAGGGAACCATGTTTGTGCTACTGCTGCACTCCAGCTTGGGGAACAGAGTGAGACCCTGTCTCCAAAACAAACAAAACAAAACAAAAAACAGCAAATAAAAAAAAACAAATATGACACTAAAAGTATTTTGTAGGAGGCCAGGGGTGGCCCCAGGTGAGGCTGAGGGGTAGGTAGAGTTAGATCAAGGAGGCTTGGATGCCACACTAAGGAGACAAGATGATTCTAAAAATAACAAGGAAACTGTCAGGATTTTAACAGGGGAGTAACCAGGCTGCAATGTGGAGGATGGATTTTAAGGGGTGACCATCTCAATTCTCAACAGGAAAACCAATTAAGATCCTATGGAAATGGTCCATATAGGAGGAATTGATAATATGACATTGGTAAGTGGAGGTAGGGGTGGAAAGGAAAAGACCGATTGAAGAAATATTTAGATGATACTTTCTGTAGAACTTGGTGACCATGTAAGTATGGGGATTGCAGAAATGGCTCCCTGATGTGAACAGAGAGGAGCATCCTGAACTGAAATAGGAAATCTAAAAGGAGAAACAAAAGGCCCAGTGACCAAAATAAGCTCTGTTCTTGATAGTCCAATGGAAATGCTTGGCAGATCCTACATCTATCATTGCTTATGACACAATATATTGAAACGATGGGTTTACATGGCTTACCCTCCTGCCTGACTAAAAGTCAAATGGCAAGGTCATGTCTTATTTGTCCTGTATCCTCAGGGCTGGCTACCCCACCCAAGCTCTGGGAGAGGTCTGCCTGCAGCACAGGTGACAGGAAAGCCATCGATGGTTGAGATCTCCCAGGGAGAGGAGAGGAGACTGAGAAAAGCAGTGACAAGCAAGAAAAAGATACACCTGGGGTAAGAATTTGAGAAGTAAGTGACCTGGTGGCCTTGCATTGTCTGCGGCTCTTCCGTGGGCCCTGTGAAAGGCCACCTCAATGCAGGCCTGCAGCCCTGTCAGTGTCCAGGCAAGCCATTCCCTTTATATGCTTTTAATATTAACACGAAGGCTTCTAGTGATTGTGCAGAAGTCATCTCCATCCATCACTTGACTAACTTTGCTTGGAAGAAAAGTGGGGAGTGGATGGTGGAGGAGGGGTTATTGCAGACTGGACAGAGGCAGGAAGTTATTGGAAGAAAGAATTTGGGGTGTGCGTGTAGTTTTTCTCCCACTCCTTCCCTACCTAGAGGAAAATAACTCTGATTTTGATATTATAATGGCAGTAGGGAAAAGATTATACAGGTCAATATTCTGTTTTATAAACACATCTACTATGCTTAAACTAAGAACTATAACTGAATTATTTTCATGAATATGCATTCTACTTAGAATTTCAAATTTTCTGTTATTTATGTATTTAAGAGACCAAACGTTTAAGAATATGACTTACAGAAGAACAACATCTTAAATAATTTTTTAAAATTTCAAATAAAGAGCAATAATGGATGAAAATTTAAATTTTAGGGGCACATAAGCCATCTGCCTCCCACCATTGCCCCATCCCAAGCCAGTTTCCCATTACTGCTGATTAACTTAAAAACCCAGCTGCGTCAGATTGCTCAAGTTGCAGACCTTTAGATGATCCTGGAAGGCCTCCTCAAACTGGATTTAACCAACTGATCTTGCTTCTTTTCCAACAAGTGTGATCCTCTGTGACAAGGATTTGACCTTCAGCTTTTGGGACAGGCTTTCCGAGTCAAGTTCCAAAGTTTGAATGGAACGCGCAATACGTGTTTCTGTGGCTTTTTCAGTCTTGCTGATCAACAGCATAATTTAATACTTGTACTGTCTGTTCCCTTTTCTGACAAGCACAATCTGATAAACAGATTGGGAGGAGCAGTGCAGCACTGTGTGATTCACACTGCGAATGAGGGGAAAAGGAGAGGTGGAGAGAGAATGAACCTGGAGTCACATGAAATGCAGCCAGATTGAGCCCTCTGACGCGAACGTTTCGGCACATGCAAGGGAGTTTTGTGGTAAGTGGTTAGGGTTATCGATTTACATTCCCCTTCAAATTCGGAAGTTTTGAAATCATTAAGTTTCAGAGAAACTCACCTAGATTAAAATACAAGGGAAAAGACGGACCTATACACCTACAGTAGGCTATTGTTACAGGTGGTAGATGCTATGGTAATTACTTCCTGTGCTCGTTTCTGTTCACTCGAACCTCTGACAGCTTTTTAAGAGGAGGTGTAAGAATTCTGTAGTTGGTGGGCTATTTCCACTGGATTGGGCAGTTTTCTGCCTAATTAGGAAAGGATGAAGGCCCTTGGATTAAATGCCACTTAAGGACTTCCCTGCAACGCCCCCAACACACATCCCCTACCTCCTCCATTAACTGCATTTGGAAGAATTCAATCTGAGCTTCAAAATAGGAGATGCCAACTATTGTTTACATCAGTGAAATCATAAAAAGGCACATCACAAAAGCACACTCAGAAGATCCTTATTTACTGTTCTGAGGCTACGCTGGGGAGCACAATGACATTACCCAGTGTTTTAAATACTTGTCTGAAGAGTCACTGTATTGGGCATTATTAAAATATGGAGTCCCAGGCTTTTCACTTAGAAAGTGGAATTCAGGCCAGGCATGCTGGCTTACGCCTGTAATCCCAGCACTTTGGGAGGCTGTGGTGGGCAGATCATTTGAGGTCAGGAGTTCGAGAGCAGCCTGGCCAACATGGCAAAAATCCTACCAAAAATACAAAAAACTAGCTGGGCATTGTGGCTTGTGCTTGTAATCCCAGCTACTCAGGAGGCTGATGCAGGAGAATCACTTGAACCCAGGCGGCGGAGGTTGCAGTGAGCTGAGATCGCGCCACTGCACTCCAGCCTGGGTGACAGAGCGAGATTCCATCTCAAAAAAAAAAAAAAAAAAAAAAAGTGAAATTCAGAAATCTGTGGGGAGATGGGGTACAGGGGTGGTGATGGGCTGGAATTATCACTTAAAAAAATGCCTTTTGTGTGTCTTAAGAACAGGCAAGTTTGGAAATCACTGATAGAACCCGTGATCAACTTTGATGGATAAAAGCTGCCCGACAGTGACAAAGTCAGACACAATGCATATTCTCAGGGTTTGAGTCCTATAGATGAATATTAGTCAGTCACAAATGTTATCAGTAATTCCTACCAGTAGATTCCTACTAATAGTTACTGCAATGCCATTTGTCTAGTGTCTTGCAGTGGAGCACACTGCAGCTGCCGATGCCAGCAAGCGCATTTTTTGCATGGGTTGGAAAGGGAGAAAGAGTTGAGCTCAAAGTATGATTCAGACCTGGTGTATGTGTATGTGAATAAGTGTTGTTTTTGTGATCAGCTTATATTATCAAATCAAACTAAAAATTTGTATCAAATTTTGATTTTTTATAAAGTATGTCCTCGATCAACTTAATTTTTGTGATCTCACATGCAATCCCACCCAAATGAAATTTTCCTAGAGTGTCTAAAATTGTTTTATTTCATAACTCTCAGAGTTACAAACTCCTAGTTTGCAGATGTCTTGTTTGGGCTGTACATTTGAAAAAAAATGAGTCAGCTCCAATATTTACACATCTAGAGATTTCACGCAAAAGTCTGGATTCCCAGGTTTTCTAGAAAAATGAGATGTTTAAGTACAAGGACGCTGTTCTCCTATAGCTGCAACCTGCTGGGGTTGAGTAGGGGCTGTTCCTTCGAATACTCCGGTTCGGCTATCTCTTACTGATTCATGTAACTTGCCCTGCCCTTGGAGGCATCTGAGTTTGCCGCCCCAACTCTAAAGGTGATATCTTATTTTCTCATACATCTTTATGTCATCAGGTCTTAGCCTGCTTTGTAGATCATGAATGGATGAATGGGGAAAACAGCCACTTAACTGCCCCCCCCCATCAACAGACTGTTCCCAGACAGTCAAGCCTACAGACTCCCTAAATGAGTATCTGCCCACCTTCTGTGACTCTCCAATGGTTCCTAAATAAAGTCCAAATCCTTGTCTGGCAGTCAAGATCAGCTCCCCTCTCACACTCCCAAAATCCAATTCCACCTTCCTTTTCTAGCCCATGCTTCCCTCTTCCCTTACCATGTGCTGACCCTGCCTTGTGCTCCTCCAGCTCAGAGCCTCTGCCCCACCCCCAAATACTCCTTCCTTGCAAAGTCTACCCATCTTTCAAGCGCCACCTCCCCAAGGATGGTTTTTCTAATATCCCCGACTAGATATGATCCCATATGATTGGGCATTTCTAGAATCCTTGGTTTGTAACTATGAAATGACACATATCCCATTGTGCCTTGGACTGTAGTTAGGTATGCACATACCTTAATTCACCGCTAGATGTGCAGAGAGCCCTGCTCCTCTCACTCCCCAGAAACCCACAGCAGAAACCATGTCATGGTCACCCTAGTATCAGCAAAGCCAAGTACCCAACATACTGAAGAAGATGGTCAAAATACTTAACAACAGGAGTACATTTCCATTATGAGGAGAAAATGCTATTAATTAATAATCTACTGCTTCCTCCTATTGCACATAAAAACTTACTTTTTCTTAAATAGTTGTTTTGGGTCCTCCTTATAAAACTTAATCGAACATTAGCCTTAATCGTATCCTTTATTTGATGTCTTAGGGTCTTAGTTACTTTAACCAAGACATAGGGATGGATAATACAACCTCCAGTATGGTCAACAGATTGAATGAGTTAACAGGTAAAGTGCTCAGTACAGGTCTGGCACACAGCAAACACTAAAGGGATGACTATTACTATTATGGAGAAACTCATCTAATATTTGGAACCAGTTTATAAGTGGCTTGCCTTATTCTAGTTTTCTAAAATACTTCTTAGAAAAGAACAGGTCAAGTAGTGTAGCTTGTCTGCCCTAAAGATTTTTTATTTTGCTAAAAAAAAAAAAAAAAAAGAGAGTATTCCAACTATCAAAGATTCAGGCAACAGTGGCTTTTTTTGAGACAGTCTTGCTCTGTCGCCTTGGCTGGAGTGCAATGGCGTGATCTCGGCTCACTGCAACCTCCGCCTCCTGGGTTCAAGTGATTCTCCTGCCTCAGCCTCTGGAGTAGCTGGGACTACAGGCATGCGCCACCACGCCCAGCTAATTTGTGTATTTTTAGTTGAGATGGGGTTTCACCATGTTGGCCAGGATAGTCTCAATCTCTTGACCTCATGATCCACCCACCTCGGCCTCCCAAAGTGCTGGGATTACAGGCGTTAGCCACCACGCGTGGCCAACAGTGGCTTTTTAAAAAGCAAACTTGTAGTGCTCCCAAGGTAATGATTGATTTGGGAAAGGATTACCAATGGATGTCAAAACCATTTGGTGAGAGTGTGTTGAGAGATACAAGATATTTATAGTCTCATAGCGTCATCCCATAGGTAATCATTAATTACAAAAAGAAAAAGCTACCTTTACACTGGGTAATTTGGTGAATGTTATTTCAACCAAGAGGCTAAAACTGCCATTAATAATATGGGCCAAACTGAGTCTTGTGATATGATGCACTGAGGACATGTTATCGCCTATGTAGTATTCTTGAAACCAAACAAACCTGACTCTACCAATGAGGGACAAATCAGACAAATCCAAATCTGCAAAACAGTTGACCTAGACTCTTCCAATAAGTCGATGTCATGGAAAGATTCCCCCCAAAGAAAAGCAAGGGGTGGGGGGTATTATTAATAAATGCAATGCGTAATCCTTGATCAGATCCTTAGGTGCAAAGCACAGCTATTAAGATCCTTTTGGGGACACTGGTGAAGTTTGAACATGAACTTTACATTGAATGATAAGCAGTAGTGAAAAATAAGATTGTGATTCATTCACACCTGTAATCCCAGCACTTTGGGAGGCCGATGGGGGTGGATCACTTGAGTTCAGGAGTTCAAGATCAGCCTAGCCAACATGGCAAAACCCATCTCTACCAAAAAAAAAAAAAAAAAAAATTAGCTGGGTGTGGTAACACATGCCTGTAATCCCAGCTACTTGGGAGGCTAAGGTGGGAGAATCACTTGAACCTAGAGGTGGAGGTTGCAGTGAGCCAAGATTGTGCCATTGTACTCCAGCGTGGGTGACAGAGTGAGACTCTGTCTCAAAAAAAAAGAAAAAAAAGAAAAGAAAAAAGATGATTCAATTATATTTTGACATTTTGATTGACCTGCTCTTTCCTAAAGTATTTTGGTGTCTGGGAATCTACATGTTTCAAGACCTAAAAAGGTGAACATTACAAGTGAACTGTTTGCTCCATTGAACTGGATCAGAGTTTTTGTAGAAACAATGTGCAACTGGGATGCAGTCATATAAATAGACCGAAGAACTTAGAAAAGAACAAAGTGGATGCCAGTAGCCAATGTACACCGTTCTGTGCAGTATTTGGTTGGGACAATGCTAACTGCACATAAGCAGTGCTGGGTAAACATTAACTGATGACAATAACCAGCAGAGTCCCAAAGTGAGGCCCTTGCATTATTGATTTGAGGAAATTCTGCTTAACGAGAATGGATTGCTAGTAAATCACGCTAGATGTGCAGAGAGCCCTGCTCCTCTCACTCCCCAGAAACCCACAGCAGAAACCATGTCATATTCCTACTAATAGTTACTGCAATGCCATTTGTCTAGTGTCTTGCAGTGGAGCACACTGCAGCTGCCGATGCCAGCAAGCACATTTTTTGCATGG